GCGTGCGTGCGTGCGTGTGTGTGTGTGTGCATGTGTGTGTGTGCGTGCGTGTGTGTGCGTATGCGTATATTATGTGTGTGCGTGTATGTGCGTTCGCGTGCGTGCATGCGTATTCATGAGCGTGTACATAATGTACGTGTGTACGTGGTGAAACACCAAACCAAATGTGCCAGGATCTGGACAATCAAGATCTCTCATTTAGAATAACGGCAACGATGACAAAACATTACGCAGTCATTTCTTTTAGAAAACACAGTTTGTGCAGTTTTTTAAATTTTACAGGAGAGCCAAAATACTGAATTGTTGCCAAGAAAATAAACTGTTCACGAACATCACAGGTCAATACTTTAAAAATTATCGTTTGATAAAAACTTGCTTACTATCTTGCACTGTATGCTTCCCAGGAAGTTGAGAATATTTCAGAATGATATCAGGTGTGTTGTGGTAACATTGTAGACTGTAAAAAGCATAAAGTTTGCCTTTGAGCGGGAATATGCGCTATGCAAAAGCTTTCTATTGTTATAATTATCCTTATCATTATAGTTATTATTACTATCATTACTATTTTTTATCATTAGGCCCTAGTATTATATTTATTATTATTATTACTATTATTATTATTATTATTATTATTATTATTGTTGTTGTTATTGTTGTTGTTGTTGTTGTTGTTGTTGTTGTTATTGTTATTGTTATTATTACTATCTGTAAAGCAAACGTTGTTTTAATGGTAACACCATTCAGTTCTTTAGCTTTCCTTCAAAGGTGAACTGTGTTGAAAAATGACGCTAACTTTACGCACGATTATCTCCCCTGCAGATGGTGCTGACGCAAAGACTGATGACGTCAGCGGAGAGGCTCAGGCGGAGGAACAGAGCGGCCAGGAGAACGGAGGAGAAGGAGGAGCAGCAGGAGAGGGAGAGGAGGAGAAGAAGGAGGAAGAGGCGGTGGAGGTTACTGCCGAGCCTGCGGAGGAAACGGCTCCCGGTGAGGAAGGAGAACAGGAGGAGGACGTGGTGAAGGAGGAGGAGGAGGAGAGAGGGGAGGAAGAGGAAAAAGAGAAGGAGGATGGACAGAAGGAGGAGGAAGAGGATGGACAAAAGGAGGAGGAAGTAGATGGACAGAAAGAGGAAGAAGGTGGACAGAAGGAGGAGGAAGAAGGTGGACAGAAGGAGGAGGAAGAGGAAGAGGGAGGAGGAGTGCAAACAGAAGTGAATGCAGAGGAACAAGAAGAAGGGGAAGAGGATGGAGAGAAGGCTGAAGAGAATGGGGTAGAGGAGGAGGAGGCTAATGCAGCAAATGAAGAAGCAGAAGAGGGTAGGAAAGAAAATGCACGTCTAGCCTTCCACTTGGTAGAGGTGATGTCTGCTTCAACTGACCCTAGACGCTCAGTCCACAGAGAACTCCTAACTGCATGAATCTATTATACATTAGCCCATTCGGCTATCTATTATTAGCACAGCATTCTCATTAGAACAGGGTGTTATATTTTATTACCACAGGGCACTCTCTCTCATTAGAACAGGTGCTATTATAAGAACAGGGGGCTATCTATTGTAAGAACAGGGTGCTATCTATTGTTAAAACATGGTGCTATCTATTGTAGGAACAGGGTGCTATCTATTATTAGAACATGGTGCTATCTATTGTAAGAACATGGTGCTATTTATTGTAAGAACAGGGAGCTATCTATTGTAAGAACAGGGGGCTATATACTATAAGAACAGAGCGCTATCTATTGTAAGAACAGGGTGCTATCTATTTTAAGAACAGGGTGCTATCTATTATTAGAACAGAATGGCATATTGTAAGAACAATGTGCTATCTATTGTTAAAACAGGGTGCTATCTATTGTAAGAACAGGGTGCTATCTATTGTAAGAACAGAGTGCTATCTATTGTAAGAACCGAGTGCTATCTATTGTAAGAACGGGGTGCCATCTATTGCTAGCAAAGAGTGTTAGTATACATCTTCATATAACTATTAGCACATATTGCTACACGTCTATGTCCGTACCTAGCGTGAGCAGTGCACTGTCAAGGGAGTACAGTAGTAGATAGTGGTTTGTTCCATGAATGCTTTTTAAAGTTTTTATCCCACTCTCTATTATAACCATTTGTGTAGATAGTGCTCATCTCCCCCCCCC